CTGTGGAGCTGGAAGCTGAGAACTGGCGACTTTGTAGTACAACTTTAGTACGCGGATGAGTCATCTCTCGCGGCTGAGTCATCTCTCGCGCCACCCGGCTCTCTTGAGAGGCTGACAAATTTTAGCTACTTTGCTTACTCATAAGTGGCTGCCACAAAGAGTCATCGTGACGTTAGTATATGTGTGTACTTCACCTTCATGACAAACGATGTTCGCTTGGAATACACGAGTCGCTTGTCATGATCGTGACGTCGTTTACTCTCAGGTCGCCCTGTTCGTGGAAACTTCAGTGTGAAATGTACGTTCTTCAGTTCTATTTGAACCTCTTCAGCGTTGTACTTGCACAACTAAGGTTGACGTTGCGCTGCCGTTGCATCCACGCATCTACGTCTACACCCCTCACCTCTCTACATTTACATCTTCACACGCTCACATCCGCAGATCTACCTCTCCACCACCACACCCACACATCTGCACATCTATATCACATCTGTACATCCACACTGTCGCTCCTTCACATCTGTCCTGTCTTTCTTTCTTTATACATATCTTTTCTCTCGTCTCTGTGCATTTACATCTTCGCACGCCCACATCCACAGATCTACCTCTCCACCTCCATACATCTACAGATCTATATCGCACCTGCACATCCACACTGTCACTCCTTCACATCCACCCTCTCTTTCTCTTTCCAATTACATGTCTCGCTCTCGGGCCAACCGTCGTCTAGTTGGGTTTGCTTTTTCCCGAATGCGTAGCGAAGGGTTCTCGTTTAACTCGTAGAGCCTTGTTCGCGACCCGTGGTAGGTCGCAACCGTCCGCAACCAATCGCAGTAGAGCACTAAGGCGCTGCCATTTGGGGAAGCCTTTGGAAAGGGTTTCGGATGAAAACGTGACGTGTGAGATTCGTGTGAAATAGCGAGGGTTCATGTGGAAATGTAAGACGTTGAAGTGTGGAGGGGCGCAGGCGCAGCGTTTTGTGAGATCCGCAGTTTGCTGCGCAGTTCCATTGGGATTAGCATTTGGAGGGTCGTGTTTTTGGGGTGTTGGATGTGGCCGTGCCATTGGGATTTTCAGGGTGTGGCATCGAAGCTCCGTTTTCGTGACAAGTCTCAGCAGTGTGCCCAGAACGGGTCGAAATCATTCCAAACGTGTGGCGCGGTGCAAATTTTGTTGAAGTCACATGAGATGATAATGTCACTTTTCATGGCAGGCGCAGTACTTTGTGCGGGTTTTGAGGTGTGGAAGTGCGATTTTCGTGGCAAGCACAGGGAATCGTGAGGTTGCGAGGTGTGACGGAGGTGACATTTCATGGCAGGCACAGTACTTTGCGCGCGTTGACGTGTGGACGCAGAAAGATTCGTGGCAGGCACCGGGAATCGTGAGGTTGTGAGTTGCGGTAGAGGTGAATGTCGCTGTCACATCGGGATTGGCGTGTGAGCGGGTGTTGTTTGGAGGGGCTGGAATCGCGAAACTGCTTGGCAGGGCTGCGTGATGTGTGTGCTCCGATGGGTGTTTCCGCTTGACTTGGAGGAAGTCTCGTACGAAACGCTCGCTTTGCAGACTTTGACATGTGAGTTTTTTGAGGAAGTCTCGTACGAAACGCTCGTTTTGGAGACTTGACGTGTGACTTTTTGAGGTACAATGGCCGGACGTGCTCGGCCCGTGCATTATTCAACGCGCTTTTTGCGTCCAGTGTCACATCCCGATGATGTTGAGTCAAGGCTGGATTCATCTGTTGAACTCATATATGTTATTGTCTCATTGTGTTGTTCTTTTTCAGTTCTCTTGTGAATGATGCATTCAGGCTTCCAAAACAAGATCAAACAGGTAACGTTCTCAATATTTCTCAATCACCATCGGTGTCACTTGTCACACACCAGCAACATCCAAGAACACAAAACACGTTGCATGGAGAGTACCTTCAAAGCCTACCAGGGGGGTCTTTCAACCGGGGATCCTCTCGAACTTCACCACGTCGCCAGTGTTGAAAAGTGCCTCACGCCTCTACGGCGGGCGCCGCTGGTGCCCCCACCTCCGGCGCTTCGGCCTGGCCCCGTGGAGGTTGTCCAGAGCGATCGGACGCTACTAGGAACAAGGGCATTGCTACTAGTAGCCTCTTGCTACTAGTAGCTATAGGTCGACTATACCCCGTTCGAAAGTGGGAGTTCTGTATGAGGTTGTGAACCCCGTGGTGTGAACATGTGTGAACGGGTGGTGGACCACCCCTTCAAGGTTGTGGAAGCCGTAAAAGTCGTCGAAGCCGCCGAAGCGCGTCCCTTTTTTGGTGTTTCTTCCGGATCTGAAACAGCTCTCTTTGTGTCCAAAGCCTGGCCTCCCCAGGGCCGAATGGAGGAACCATCCGATCTTCCAGAAGTCCTTCTTGGTTTAAAGGCAAATCAACACCGAATCCGCATCAACAAAAGGTCCCTGACTCACTCAGTAAGGAAAGAGAAAACAATATTTTATGTCCGAAGACATCGGACACCGCAGTCCTGTAAACTGGATATCTGCAAGCTCCTGCGCCACCTATTGTGACTACAAAAAGAATATGTATATATATATATATGATTATTTGATGTACAAACTCCCCACCTCTTTCCAAACAGGGGCAAAGGCCTCATCATTCAGCAACTACTGGTCTGCAAACCCAGCAAGATCATTGGAGGGTTGGAATCTGGGTTCCGTGTGGATGGGTGCTTTTATATAACTGGTGATCAGCGAAGGACTTCTTCCTGCCAGATTTGTGCCCATATATTTGAGCGATTGCTTCAGGGGATGGGTATGCGACATGTGACAAGCAGCGTCCATCAACAGGATCAAGTGCGTGAGGTTTCAACTCACTCCTTTGCAAATTCCATCTTTTTTGCCGATGCCGGGGCTCTGGCTCTGCTGCTGCAGTTGCAGCGTTCCAGGAGGCGCGAGAACGCTGGCCCCGCCACTGCCAGAACTCCTGGGCAAACTTGCACGCCAGCCAAGTGACTTCTGCAAGCTCCTGACCCACCTATTGCGACAATATATACGTGTGTATCTTATATATACATATATCTTTTATATATATAGTATATATATATATACACATATGATTTTTTGGTGCGCAAACTCCTCAATCAAAACTTATTGCTAGGGACCTCTTTCCAAAACAAACACAATGCAAGCTACCAAACGACTTAAAAGAAACCAGCAAAGGGCTTGAAAAAACCTGCTGTGATACGCAGTATGGACATGGTTGGACAATGGTTGGACATGGTGTCAAGAATCTCATGGAAATGTCACATGTCTTCATCCGGAGTTGATCCACCTTCCAACACATGGGCCCCAACAATCCCATCATTCCAAATTGCTGAGGCTGCCAATTCGGAATTCTCCCACCGCTCGGCAGCTTCTGTGGCCTTCTGACGCTTCTGACGCCTCCCTGGTTTATATGTACTTTGACCATCTTTGACCATCTTTGACCTTTGCACGGTTGCAGTACGGTTCCCACGTAAGTGCTTCGGTTCGGTATCGGTTCGGTATTGCGCGTACCTTGATGCACCTGGAGTCCGGTCAAAGATTGTCAAAGTACTCCCAGCCCCCGCCGTGCCAAGGCGCCCGATGCTCGGCCACAGCAACGCATGCTGCAAAAGTTGCAGCTCCTGTCCAAGGCAAAAGAGGAAGGGGGGGTAACCCCAAGAAGGCCACGGGGGTTTCTACACCGGGTCGTTTTGGGTTTGTGTTGGTGAGTCAGAGTGTACTGTGGGGGGCCATCTTCATCAGCTTTTGTTTTCATCAGGTCAGTTTCACAGGCCAAAAGACAGCCTTCAGTGGCCCAGACCCCATTAGACAGCGGTGGGCCCTTGCGGCGGGCGAAGAAAGCGATACGGAATCTATGCGGGCCTGTTATAACGAAATAGAAAGAGAGGATGGCAGTTCCTTCACACCGATCAGAACAGATACGTCAACAAGGAGGACGAAAGGAACGATCTCAGCCCGCACGACAGGCTGTCCAGATTGGAGCAGAGCGTAAACAAGAAACTGTCACGGCAGGGAAAAAGCTGTTTGCCACATGTTGATTGAAAGTTCAAACCGATGGTTGACGCTGATGAAAACCGATGACACATAGATGCATTCCGAGCTGGAAACCGCTTCAAATGAAGCTAGGTCCAAACTCATCGTGACATGTCTACCAGCTTCTCTGCTCGCTGTGAGATCTGAGGCTAATGAACAACAACTATACAAATAATGTGCAGAAAGGACTCACAGCGGATTTGAAATATGGACGTGGGTCAACCTTGACTATACCAAAAAAACTCCACCCTTCAGAAGCCGCTCACCCGAGTGGTCGAGCCTCCGCGTTTGGTCCAGCAGGTTTGGATGGGCGTTGGGACGCCGAGGTTAACTAAGGGGTGTCCATCAACCACCCCGACAGTGGGTCCTAGTATACCTGGATCTTCCAAGCCAATGTCGTTGGAAGATCCAGGATGATGTCGTTGCCGTATGTGGGTATAACTCTGTCGGCGGACTCTGACAAAAGGGATGATGTGAACCGCACAGCCAGCGACTATTTTGCAGTCAAGGACTATGTTGAAAATTGGCTTTGCTCGAACGACGTTTTAAACCAACGTCGTTTGAAGGGCAGGGTATAGTAGAGTCTCCATGGATATCCACAGACCAATCCTGCACCATCTGCAGAGCCCAAGCTAAACCGAAGTTTACCCCTACCAGCCTCGCGTTCCCGGTCCGGCAAATCATGCAAATCCTGGAAGCGTGTTTTGGCCTTGTTCGTTCTGGTGGGACAGGAGCTGGCTCGTTCTGGTGGTAGGGACAGGTGGTAGTCCTCCATGAAAGGAACACTATGGAACACTCAAAAGGCAGAGGATGGGTTTGGGCCAACTACTGGTGACTTTCAGTTTTGGATCAGTTTGACTCGACGAGTTGGTGAGGTTGGAAGAGTGCGCCGTGAGCAGAAACAGAAAGTGCGCCGTGGGATTTCTCTGGGTCGTCCGCCATTTTCGATGCGTCAGGACACGCTTGGATGGTTTTTGATCGCTTGGGAAGACGGCTAGCCAAGCATACGTTGTGGCTCAAAACCCGCACCCAGAAAAAAACGTTTCGGGTTGACGCATTCCTGGCAGTCCAAACCATGACTTCTGCTGTCAGATTCTTGGGGAGACCCCGGCACATTGGATCCAAACGCAAAAAGTCCCACACACCTCTTGGTCATTCCTTCTCAGTTTGCAGCCATCTTCTCCTCTCCCTTGCTTCCCCCTGGCCGTTGCCTCAAACACCCTCCCCCCACCGGCTCCTCCAGTGGCAGCTTCCACCAAAAAGGCCCCTGGCCCACTCAGTAAGGCAAGAGAAAACGATATGTTATTTCCGAAGGCACCGGACACCGCAGTCCTGTAAACTGGATATCTGCAAGCTCCTGTGCCACCTATTGTGACTACAAAAAGAATATCTATAATCATCCTCGAGTAGATAGAATACGGAATTGAGCCGCCAACGTACCTTCCGTCATTTCAATTTCATATTCTAAGTACCTCGTTTTGACCCCAAAAAAAAATACATAGAATATCTCCGAGCGGATCAAACGAGTACTTGGAATATCGTGGAATGGTCTGTGGAAGATAGGGGACATAGGGGAGAAGATGGGAGAAGAAAAAGGGACATAGGATGCGAGCTCGCGCGCGCGCGGGTGTTTCGATTCGAGGCACGCGGGTGTTTTGATATAACCATCCTGAAGATGCTTTTGGGACCTCGATATTCCATGTATTATTACTTTTTTTTAGTGCCGCGGGATTGAGTTGTACCAAAATTCTATGTACTTCAGGATGGTTATATATATATATATATGTGTGTGTGTGCGATTATTTTGATGCACAAACTCCTCAATCAAAACTTGTTGCTAGGCACCTCTTTCCAAACCGGGGTAAAGGCCTCATCGTTCAGCAACTACTGGTCTGCAACCCCAGCAAGATCATTGGAGGGTTGGAATCTGGGTTCCGTGTGGATGGGTACTCATACAAATATCTGAGCGACAGCTTTTGTATAACTGGCGATCAGCGAAGGACTTCTTCCTGCCAGATTCGTGCCCATATATTTGAATGATTGCTTCAGGGGACGGGTATGCCACATGTGACAAGCAGCATCCATCAACAGGATCAAATGCGTGAGGTTTCAACTCACTCCTTTGCAAATTCCATTTTTTTGCCGACGCCGGGGCTCTGGCTCTGCTGCTGCAGTTGCAGCGTTCCAGGAAGCGCGAGAACGCTGGCCCCGCCACTGCCAGAACTCCTGGGCAAACTTGCACGCCAGCCAAGTGACTTCACAACCGATAAAAATGCATGCGCGCGTGGTCCAATTCTGGGCTGCATACGGTTGGTTAGAACCACGCCGGGCTGAATTTGCAGGCAGGTGAGGCTCTAGGTGTATAATATAGGCTCTAGGCCAAGACATGGCATAACCAGCCCCAAGCCTTCACACCCTCCACGCCTCTGCTCGCTTTAGCTCCTCCTTTCGGTGCGACTCGAACAGAGGCTGGCGCTGCCACAACGCAATCCACTTCCATGTTTAGAGGGTATCCATCCTTAGACCAAGGAGTTACTGAAAACTCTCCCAGAAGGAAGTAGGAAAATGTGGTGGAGAAAAAGGGCTTGCCTTTTTGAAGTAACAAAAAAAGACGTGGCGATTGATGATTCAAGGCTTCTATCAAATTTCTGAGCTCTTTGTTTGGTCGACTGACTTCCAGCTGTGTTCCGTCCCCGGGTGCATGCACATCGCAAACGAGCCGGGCCAATCAGAGTCCCACAAACACCGTATTCCGCCCATGGCCAGGGAGGTAGATCAAGGAAAGAGTTTCGAAACTGTCATAAGCAATCGTAGTTCAGACGTACACTTGATGTACAGTAGGCCGAAGGGCGTCAAAGCTGGGCTGGGTGAGGGTGAAAAAGGCCAAGTACAGCGAGTTTGCACGGGAAAAGGACAAAGGCCCCCAAACAAATCCTAGACCCCCAAGCCCTCACAACCCGTCCGCATCCCGTCTTGCCTTCCGGACCACCTCGGTCAAGTGCGCCAGGGCATCTTCGAAGTTTTCCTTGGCGGCTCACGAAGGGGGCATTTCCGGCAACAAACCACCCAAACAGCACACCCACCCCGAACCCACCAAGGCCCCCACCGCATCATTGAGCCATGCATAGATTCGGCATAGCTTTGGTGTCGACATGTTTCAGGTCCTATATTGGTGTCGACAAAGACAACCTGGAGCTTGTGTGGGTGGATACTGTGACGCGTTTTTGCAGAGGTTCGACAAGTGCTTTTTGGTACCGACTGTACATTTGTCTTCATGAACTTGTAAGAAGTATAGAGACAGGTACACTCCGACAGGTTGACACACAACCACCTTTCCGTACACTTGTGAAGCACAAGGCATTGAAAACTGAGTGGGTCATTAATAACCTGCCGGATAGGAAGTTTGTTTTAACTTTCTTTGCTGAAGACATATCAGACTGTGTGTATTCGCTCATATATGCAACATGACTCATTTTCTTGTGATTTTTTGTCTCAAGAACATTTGTGTCTGCGACTGCAATTTTGGTTCAAGCACGCTTACTACGGACGAAGGATAGCTTGAGCATATTGCTGTCATCATGCGCCAGCTGCGGGGCAATAGGACTTGGTCAAAAGCCAAGAAAACCGAAGCCACACGAGCTCCAGGTTGCCTTTCACCGGCCCATACTTTTGGGGAGTCTTTCTTGCGGGGTGCAAGGTGCAAAAACAAGTGGTTTCGATCATGAATTGCACATATACGGAAGCTTGGGTTGGACTTTTTTTCTCCCCGCACGTTTTTCCGCGCTGAGGTCTGATGTCTGCGTGGACTGTTGTATACTGGCCAGTCTCCAGGTGTGCGTTGCGACGGACTGTTTTCATACTGGCCAGTCTCCAGGTGTGCGGGGGGGGGAGGGGGGGCAAGCCTAAGCCCGGGGGGGGCCCCCATGCCCAAGCCTGGGGGGAGGGGGGAGGGGGGGGGGGGGTCAGGGGGGCTTGTGCCAGAATGTCACTGAGGCAGGGGGTGTCTCCATCGACGTTGGTGCTGCAGGCGATGGCGTCGGCCATTAAGCTGGCTGCAAATGCATTTTGGGCTGCATGGGTGAGGAGGGCGGACCAGCGACCCACAAGTCCAGCGATCGTGGCCGCCCGGAGCGGCGCTGGTGCAGACCGGGCCCTGGCCCTTGCTAAAGCGCGAAGGAAGGCTGCTGTTTCGGTGCTGAAGCGACCGCCGAGTTCGAACGCTAGAACGACTAAGCGGCACCGGCCTCCACGGGTGAGTTCTGGGTATGTGCACTCTTTGGCTCGCCGTGCCTGGTGGAACGCTGCCCCTATGTGTGTGCCTCGATACCTTCTCGGTTCCCCGTTTGTGGTGAGGGCAGACGAGGTGGTGTCTATGGCCAGCTGGGCGCCTTGGAACAATGGGAGGCCATTGGCAATGACTTCAATGCGGCGGCGGTCCATGCGGTCCACGGATGGAATGTTGAGGTCTGAAAGGAGGGCGTTGGTTGTAACACGTGCGCCAGCCTCACGGCACACCCGCGCGGCAGCTCTTTCCAGGGGGCAGGCCCGGCTCCCGAGAACACCAGACCTAAGGCACGCCGAACGGTGGCCGCCAAGGGGCTCGAGGACGCGACGGCACCTACAAGTGCGTTCAGTCAGGGGTAATGGGAGGCGGAGCCGACGAAGCAAGAGGAGCCGGAATAGGCAACACAAGTCTGGCGAATGCGGGGCTGTGGTGAACACTCGGCTGGCAAATGGCCCTGAATGTGAGGCCATCATGGCTGCACTGGCTGGGTCCAAGGTGCTTAACAGTTCTGTTGCCATGCTTTGTGTACAGCAGCTGTGGCTTCGCGTTGCCAGCCTCGTTGCATAGTGTGTGGCTGTGGTTCGTCGGGCGCAGGCCCTGCTGGAGTGCCGGAAACGGGGTGGCTCCCAGCCGTGCTGGTGTAGTTGGTCAGCTGCGCGGCTGGCTGCTTGCAGGGACGGGGGTGCTGCAGTGGGATGTTGGAGATGTTGGGTCAGACGGTGAGTCAAATCTGGCACTTGTTGCTCGAGGGTGGGCAAAGCGCCGCCCCAAGATGCCCAGTATGCGGCATGTGCTGGGCAAGTGGCGGATGTCAAACCCAAACCGCCTTGGTGAAGAGGCAGGTGCGCGCGGGCAAGCGCTGCCGCGGGGAGGGGGCTGGTTTGGAGCAGCTCGGTGAGGGCACTGGCGACTGCCACATCGTGGTCGTTGGCAAAAGTGGCCGTTGTGGGCGGTGGCAAGCTTCGCAGTAAGTAGTTGGCACGGGGGCTGGCACAAAACAAGAGGAGCAGCCAGGAGGCTTGCACGTCTTCAAATGCAGGGATCTTTTCGAGAAACTCCGAGTGCTGAGCCGAGATTTGTTGCAACTGTGTTTGGATGTAAGCTGGGTGCCCGATGGGGACTCCGAGATCGCGGAGCCCTTGGACGTTTGGGCGGGGATGAATGGTTGCCGACCCAAACTTCTGGACCAAGGTCACTGAGATTAGGTGGGGCCTGGCCCGCCGCATTCCAAACGCGGGCTTTGCCGTGGTTGAGGTGCACATGGGCATGGCGAGACAAATGGTGCTGCAATAAGTCCAAGACAGGGCGCACACGGTGTGGGAGAACTGCATACACATCATCCAAAAGCGTAAATGGCCTCATTGGATTGCAATTGCTGCTGCACCTAGGCAATACAATGCGGGCATGAGTGGGTCGCCCCCCCCCCCCGTTTGCCACCCTCGGTTTGTTCGATGGTGTGGGGGTTGCCTTCTGCATCGTGCCACACATAGTGCGACGGGGTGCCATGGAACGACCTGACGAACGGCAAGCATCGGTTTGCAAGGGGGACTTGAAGCAAGCCGTGCAACATGCTGGTGCGGGAGATGTGGTCGAACGCCCCAACCCCGTCAACAGAGAGGATGATTTGTGGGTGGTCCAGTTACAGTTCAGTGGATGTGGCCAACCAAGGCTTTGATGACCGCTTCGGCGCCAACTCGGGCAGAGAGAGCAAATTAAATTGCCAGGGGCGGCCAGCTGCCTGAATTTGTGTGGCATCAAGTTGGGCCTCCAGGAGCGAGCTACTAAACGCCGGAGAACGTCGCCGATCACCAACCCACGACGGCCCCCGTTTGGCTTTTGCAAAGCGCCTAAGCGACCCAAGCCAAGGAGGGAGGCAACGGGGGGGAGTGATTTGGCCACGGCCAAGTTGCTGGGCAACAGCGACGAATCGGTTGGTGGCTTCTTCATCAGACTCCGACTAAGCGGAGGGACTGGGCGCTGCCTTTCCGGGCGCGACGCAGGTTTGACACAAGCAACTCGGCAGGGAGGTCGGTGGGTTCTTCTGGCTGAAACATCTGGTGGTATGGGGTGGTACGGTTGGGTCGGGCGGAGCTCTGCCGGGGCGTTTGGGGCGCCAGGGGCCAGAGGGCCAGAGAGGAGTGCTTGCCGGACAGCAGATAACTCACCGAGGTGGACAAGGTCACGGGCACGGCGGGTTTGCTGTGTGGTGTCAGCCGCTGGGGGGTGCCGGGTTGGCTGGGGATGGGTGGTGGGAGATTGCCTCATTCAAGAGTTCGTGCCAGTGGCCCGCTTCGAACTTTGCGAGCCGGTCGCGCCAAGTTGGTTTTTGGAAGGGCGTTGACCCCTGGTGGTTTGTGCACAATATGGGTTCCAAAGTGCCTCAAAGCTTTGACGAAGGACTTTATTTAATAAAATCCTTTCGAGCTGAGGTCATTCCCTTATTTTTCTATGTGCCAACGTTGGCAGCCAAAAAAATGGCTAGCTTTTGAGCATTTATGGAATCCCGCGCAAACGTGTTTTATGGAATCCTGTTACCAAGGTTGCAGGAGCTAATGACTAAGAAACATATTGGCGTATTAAATTCCTGGTTAGGGGGGGTTGGAGAAGGGAAGGTTCTGGTTCTTTTTCAGCGTATGCTCTCGGTCGTCTTGCTGGGGCAGAGTGCTGACATGATTCTTCAGAATCGGGCCATGCTTAAGTCTATTTTGTTTTTTTTTTTTTGCGGTCCGCACGGGCCTCGTCGGTGCTGGGTCCTGCCAGGCTTTGCTGGCCTATGGCCGCAAAGGGAGCCGGCTTGGCGCGGAGGCCCCGGCAAGCGCAAGGATCTCCCCGAGAGGGAGATCTGCGGAGCCGGTGGGGCACTGGGGCGCGCGCCAGTCGTCCCCAAGCAGCGTGGGGCCCAAGGCGCGCTGGACGGCGACGCCAAGGAGGCCCCACCAGCGGCGGCGCCACCCGGCAGCGGCGGCGGTGCGGACCGCGGGAGGCGCGCGCCGGGCGCGAAGGCGGACGAGGCGGCGCACGAAGGTCAAGGACTCCGTGTTCCAGCGGCCGCCGACCTCGCAGGCGAGGACCAGGAGCTGCTGCGGACCGCCGGCAGCAAGCTCTGGATAACGGCGGCGCTTGCGCCGCTCGGCCAGGCGGAGCGCGACACCATCCGCCTCAGCGGCCCCAGGGACGGGGGCACCGCCGCGCGTCAAGGCGGAGACGAGGGTGGCATCGCAGCACCACGTTTCCCCATGTGGCGAGGCGCCATGCACGACCAGGTCGAGTCGGCGGCGGTCATCGGGGGAAATGTGCGGGGTGTTGGTGCGCGCAAGCCACTGCTGCGGAACGACGCGGCCCTCGGCGCCCACAGCCTCGCGGGCGACGCGCACCCACGCGTGCTCCAAGACATGTGCGCGGCGGGCGAGAGCGCCGCTGCGGGGGCAAGCTGCGCAGTGGTCGCCCAAGCGGTCCAGCGGCTGCCCACAGCCGGGAGCGCCGTCACCTCCACAGCGGGCACGCGCCAACGGCAGAGGCAAGCGGTTTGTTTGTCCATCATGCGCGTGCATTGCTTGTTTGTGACCATAAGATCAAAACTAAAGGTCGAAAGCCAATCAAACGAAACCAGTTGTTATGCCAGGCCCACTCCCGAAGCACTCAACCACCTACGGCTGCCACTCTTGGCTGGGACGCGTGAAATCTCAACAGGTAGAGTACAGGTAGAGTGCATTTGTCGACTGTCAGCGAACGGTGCCACTGTTTTCATCTATTCCCCGTTCTTTCGTGAATCTGGCGCCCTAGAAGCGCGAGAAGCTTTTGCTCGTCAACCGTGGCCCTTGAGGATCTTTGAGGTTTGTCGGCGCGGTCAAACCTGTCATGTTTGGAGTTCTTGAAGTATGTATCCCCAGAACCT